GCCCAGTACATAGATTCCATGCTACCTTTTTCCTAAGTCTGGTCTACTCGTACCTGATTGTATGTAGACTTGGTGCTTCCTTGGACCTCCGGGCTGACATAGAGCGCAGTGCCAACCATCCCTGTCAAGTTACCTACGTGGCAAAAGATGAGAGTACTAGTTTCAAGGAAGGGGGAAAAAACCACAGCGAAGTCAAGAAAAAAACCCCTTATCTTCTGTCCTCATTTCTAGGTGGTCCTGAAAGACGCAATTGAGAAGAGTGTGCAAGACAGGCAGTTCTTACCTTCACACGTCAAGTATCTGTGTCTATCTATAGTAGCTAATCCTTTCTATTCTTTAGAGAATTGTAGGTCAGCACAGAAATTATAGAACTGAATTTCACTTCCATTACACTCATCTTCAGACGCACAATGTACTAGAGAAAACTACAGTTTTCTCAAAACACAGAATTCAGCTTGTTATGGAAAGTTCCAAAAAAATCTCAACCAAACAAAAATCTCTGGAGTCTTGAAAATGTCCTGTACAGTCAAGAGTTAGCAGAAGTGCAGCTGGAACAGATATACACAGGATCTCTATATACCTTCACCAGAAGAAAAGCACTGACCTATGGTAGAAGGCTAGCAATGTAGGCAAATTCATTTTTATATAACACTTAAAACTGCCAGACTATATTTAACAGATCTACCCAAAAGTTGATGGTTACTTCCTCTCCCCCCCAAAATGAAAAAGGTTTTATTTCAAAGAATGAATGGAAGTTCTAATAGAGTATAAAAGACTATAGAATATAAGCGTTTACTTAAAATCATTTAGAACAAGCTGCTATGTAAACTAACCTGAGGGGTCAGACAGAGCAGAACTATCTGAGGTATTTTCTTCTTGTTTAGAGACAACCTGAAATCAGGAAAACAGAGATATTGTAAGTGTCACTTGAAATATATCTGTTGGCTTTTCTTGCTGCTTTGGTTGGCAGTACATGTTTTAATTCTAGATCCTTAGAAATAAAGAAGTTTATGGCATTCACAATATAAAGGTCAATGAGCACTATGATTTTATATGTTTTATTTTCATCTTTTATGTTATTACAACACCAGAATCAAGGGTTTTGTTTCCTTCACTTTCAACTGTACTTACTGCATTTGCTGGATGATCTGTAGCTAAACCAAAATCACCAATTTTGACATGATCATCTGAATCTAAAAAAATGTTCACAGGTTTCAAGTCTCTGTGGATCACACCCTGTCACAGGAGAACAAGACCCACAGAAAATTAAACAATGAACATTATTCAAAATACAATTCTTTTTATAATATACTAGAAAAATCACATTAAATATTTCTATTACAGTGGGAAATCCACTGCATTAAGTCACTAATGACTAATTTTGAAGTAATACTACGGTCTGTAGCCCAGAAGCTAGAAAAAATTTTCAGCGCTACCAGATAACTAACAAAACATTTTTGAATGTGGTCACATTTTTGTCACAACAGGAGAAATGTGAAGTGGTTCAGTATAAAAGTTTCAAATTTATGATAAAATCTTCTAAACTGCTAGAAGAAATTTACGATAGAGAGGAAAAAGAATGAACCCTTCTAATAAACACCCCAAAATGAACAGAATATGAAGAAACCTGTAGCAGAAAGAGGCATAACACACACTGTGGACAGGTCATAACTCATATTTACTCACCTTTTCATGGATGTAAGCTAAGCCATCTAAGATTTCTCGGAAAAGTCTCCAAAGCCGACTGGTATCTTCACATAGTCCTTGGTCAATAGTATCCCTTAATGTGCTCTTCTCACAATACTCCATCTTCAGGTGTGCACAGGTAAGGGACAGCAGGGGAAAAAAAAAAAAAAAAAAAAAAAAAGAGTAGTAATTTGTATCTGTGTGCATAGTAACGATTCGTTCTGTAACACTCAGTACCACCAAAACATTCATTCGTCTGCTTGGAACTTTCCTGAGCTGTGTTTCAGCTAGAAAATGGGCATTAGTTTATTTTTCTGGGAGAACTGCATGAGCTAGTAGAATAGTATATTCTCTAGCAAATGTTAAAAACAAGGTCAGCCATAATCTAAGTTTAAGCCTAACTTTAAAGAACATCTAGCTTTATTCTACTTGGCATCTTAACTGCCTAGATTATGAATATACACAATGTATGCAAACAAGCCTATTAAAATGTAATTCCATCTAATTTTATCTTCCTTCCAGACAAGCTCTAGCAGGAAGTGTGTTATAAAAAATGGCACATCACCACAAAACAGTGAGCTATGAAAGTCGACTTCTCCCAGAAACAGCCTAACTTCTAACACAAAGGAAAAGTTGTCAGTAGGAAAGCCTGAAGTTGGAAGCCTGCAGAAATTTGTGTCCTACTGTTGGGGCCACATAATGGTTTTGCAGATTACTGTTCTCTGTTAAAAGAAAGTGTGTGCACAATGCAGTGCCTTTGAAGAGAACAAGGAAGTTTTCACACCTGTGAAACACAGCTTCCCCTCTGGAAGTTAACACAGTACACTTCAACTCCACACTGGAAATTAACACCAGAACTTGAGAACTCCTACGCTGTTAGGAGGGATATTCTGAACAAATTTTACTTGCACAAGAGCCACAACAGTGACCCCATTAAACACTACAGCACTACAAAACTTTGCTCCCTCCAGGCACAGCTAGAGCGCCTTGGAAGGTGTAACAAGCCACATGCTGCACAGTGCCTTCCACCAGCCAAGCCTTTCAGAAAACCACTGCAAAACCAACACTGAACTGGGTCTCATTGCCCTTTTTTTAAGATAGTTGCTTTTCTCATGAAAACCAGCAGTTAATCTCTGCAAGCTGGAATAAACATTATCCTCTTATCTGAAAACACAAGCATGTTTGTACCTGAATGTACAGGTAATGCACTGTCTGAGTGACTGGTGTCCTGTCTTCTCCTCCATGGCCATTCCTCTCATTGCCTTCTTCATCCTTGATCACAATAAAAGTAATATAACAGTTACTTACAGGAAGGCGTCCAGAGTTCTTTTTATGCATGCTACTATTTTTTAATGGCTGGAACACAGTGTTGAAAAGTCACCTTCTACAGCTAGGGTTTGAATAACACTGAAATAATATTGACATTTTTGTTCTAGTTTATTTAGGAGCAGTGGCATTACAACAGGTATGACCCAATTTTCATTTTCAAAGTGAGAATAAGTAACATTTTGCCATCATTAGACACTGGAGGATCAGGAGATCAGGAGGAAACCTAAATCTCAGTGTGTCATATTTTTAAAAAAAAAAAAAAAGTTTGAAACTAAAATATAAAAGGCTTACTTAATAATGCAACCCCTGCCTCAACCAACAATTTTGATTGTGTGCATATTATTAAATTATATATTGAGAGCTTTTTCTATGCCAATGTACATTACAGTGGAAAGAGGAAAGAGATTAAGGTTTAATAATTACAACATTTTACAGATCATTAGGATTGGCAATAGATGATAGATGCTGTAGAAAACTGTACATTAGCTTTCTAGTGATACAGTGCACTGACTGTTCACAGCAAGTTCTGTGATAAAGAAAACCTTAAGATCAACTAAAACCTTACACATCATTTTGACTGCCTCTTTTTGACTTCTAGCAGTATGTGTTGTCACCACTTTCAAAGAGGGGTAGTATGAGCAAATATATTGGTTTATATCATCTAAAAGCAGAACAGAATTTCATCTTTCAGATGACATAAGGCAATCTATTTGGTTAACTAATAAATCATGTGCATGCCAAAGTGTTTAACTTGAAATAAACAGGCTCACAACTATAAAGTGCAACTTACATTCTGCTCTATAGGAAACAGAATTCAGATTAGCTGCATCAGACTAATTTCTGTGGAACACAGCTTGTGATGGCACAACACATACTCTGATGGAGCATAACCTTACATGGTTCTTTACTTACACCAGAAGTGACACAAAACTTCCCAGCTGACCTGTTTGGTTGTCAAAGCCTATTTTATGATCTTTTCATTTTCACTAGCTTGATCACTGTACTTACTGGAGTATGACCATTACTGTTTTCATCCTCATTATCAAAAATTATTTCACTTTCAGAATCTGTGGTTGGCCTGTTTAAAAAGAAAAGAAAAAAAAAAAAAGAAAAAAAACTCAAGAACTTTGGTTACCAAGAACTATTTACTAAGAAATGTGGAAACTGTTTAAGGAAACAGAAGAAATTCTAAGCTTCTGTTGAAGACCCTCTAGTTTCCTTCAACAAAAAAGGAAAACAAGACCTCCTCCAAAAAAAAGTATCCTGCTTGCAAAGCAATGCTTCCTTTGATGGCACAGTGTCTTAAATGGAAGATATATGTAAGTTTACTTACTTGCTTAAACAAACAAACCAAAACAAAACAAAACAAGCCAAACAACACTAAGTGAAAGAACCACTCCATACAGAGAGGTAGGCACGGAATATGTTAATAAAAATCAAAACAAAAAAGAAAGGACAAGTAAGGTATCTTTCAGGATCTGTAGTTCTCCACTATTGTTTACTAAAAACTTTACTCCCAAGGTTCAGAAAGACAGTCCAACAAAGTAAAGTCTCATGTATTTTGACACAAATGACAGGAAACTTCTAGAAACCTAAACCAAAGTTTTCCTTATACACTGACAGCTTTTAGTGACTCATTTTCCTCTCCATGGCTATCTGACTGCTGGCAAATGACTCAGTTTTTTTAACTAGGGGACAGAATGAAAACACACTGAGCTACCTCTGACAAAAGAGGTAAGAATGATAGAGACAAATACAGAACCCAACTTTGTTCACATTCCCTGAAGCCTACTTACAAAAATGAATGCGAGAACACCCCATCACCATCGTCGTCATCATCATCACTGGACTCCTGATCAGCTCCACTGAATTTGTTGCTGGAGGATCTCTCACACGAAGTACTCCACTCAACTGAACTTGTCAGAACTGGAGGAGGAGCATCAGCTTCCACATCATCTGACTCCTCAGTAGCAGGGATGAAGAGACCAGCTTTGGTGGGCATTCTTTTCTCTTCAGTTATTTCAGATGACAAAGTGGAAATAGGACTTTTATGTTTTTCTATCCAGGCATTGTAATACCTCACAATGTTCTCATGGTTCAGGCGGGAAAGTAGTGTCACCTCTCCCTTAATCCTCCGAAACTGCTTGCTGGCAGGGTTTACACGGATACATTTCACAGCATAATAGCAACCATCCAGCTTGTTTCTCACCTGCAGAATTCAAATAAATCTAAAGTCAAATGCTTATAAACGCCTTACCAAGTAGAGCTCAAAGCAGAATAATTTCACAGAAGAGGAAGTTCTCCTTCCACCTAGGAAATTACTACAATTCAAATGCAAGCTTCTCCATACTGACAGGCTTCTCCTCAGACTCCCAGCAACCTCTTGTAAACATCAATTTATTCAACTCCAGACAAAAAACACAACACAGGCACAGCACACTAGAGGATTATAAATAAAACCATGCAAACATTGAAAATATTGTTTTGCTTCAGAGAATACAAACACATCCCCAGAAAGGATTCCACAGAGGGAAACAATTTTTGTACCATACCTTGATGACTGCTCCAAAAGCCCCCTTGCCAAGTAATTTTAGCTCTTCAAACTCATTGTAGTAGCGTGAAAATTGTCTCTGTGTTTCTGTGAAGTATGAGGCACTGGATATCTGACTGCTGGGCACAACTGTCTCGATGCAATCTATACCTGCTGAATCTGTAACAAGGATATTAAAGTTTATCACCATTGGAAGTATGGGATAAGGCACAAGGGACTGTCAAATAAGCATCAGGAAGAAGATAAAAGTTAAATAACTAAGTGCAAATAAAACCTGGAATACAGAAGTGCTCTGCTGTGTACAGTTAAGCTCTGGTACAAGCATAAACCTTAATACAGTTTTTAAGTAATAACATTAATTATGCTGGACAAAGGAACTGATTCTAACAAGAATACGATGAGAGAAGTAGTCTCACTGGAACAGCACCTTCCAAGGACAAAGTTAAGTGTGATATTTACACTGTGCAAGAGATGGATGAATCTACAGGATTAAAGCATCAGCTTCTTCTACTGTTGAAACAACAGCACTCAGTCCACCCCAGCTAGTCATGGATATAGAAGGTGAAGACCATAATAACTCGCAAGTTCACGTAAAATACTTGTGTGGTCTTGTGAAGCTCCAGCACAGCTTAATTTTTCTGTTACTGCAGGCATGTAGTAGTTCTACTTATTAAGCAGAATATGGAAAGGTGGTTTCATACCATCTAGATTTTCATCAGCTGTAGGTATTTTCATTCGTGGAATGTTTATAAAGCTATGTTGCAACAACTGTTGAGGAGTCCATCTTCCCTTATCTTCCAAGCAAACACATCTGTTAGCAAACCAGGAAGAGAACTGTTCAGAGTTCTACTCCATATCGGGCCTAAACATTCAAAGAGGTCTCCTTATACTTAAGAAATCTGCACCTTTATCATTCAGATGGGAATCAGAAGCAAAGAGACTAAATGACTTAATCCACAGTGACACACAAAGTTTGTGGCAGGGCAGAGAAAAGAGCACCAGAGCTGTTCTCCCAAGTCCCAGATTAGCAGCCTGAGCCATAAAGGAGCAATCCCCTCTTCTCTAAAAAAATGTAACTAGTGACACAGGGACACTTAGCTGTTATTCCAAAAAAATGCAAAATAAATATTTTAAAAATCAAAGACAAAGAGATACAGAACATAACAAACATACTTTTCCAGAAAGTCTTGGAAGTCAGCAGGTAAACTGGTAGGAACAGCAACTGGATACTCCTTGGTTATTTGGCCCTGGCTGAGTGAAAGCAGAAGCAAGCCCAGACTCCATATATCTCCTTTTTTTCCAGGTTTGCTGGGAAGACCATCCTCACTAAAACGAACTTTGGTTTGCTCAAAAACATCTGCTTTACAGATATCAGCTAAGCGCTTGGAAATACTGTAGTCTGTCACCTTGATGTTTCCTTCAGCATCTACCAGGATACTGGAAGCACAAAGAACTTTGTGCACTACTGAATTATTATGCAAGTAGTCGAGAGCTGACAAGATTTGGGTCACGTAATGGCGCAACTGCTCAACTGGAACTGGAGTCTCTTTGTGTAAGTATGTAGAAAGGCTGGAGCCACTTATGTGCTCCACTAAAATGTCCACCACGATTGAATCATCCCGTTCTGTAAGGTTCATACATTTATAATGTACTATGTTTGGGTGACTTAGCTTCGTCAGTGAGCTGAACTCTGTTTCTGCGCCCTGGAGCTGTTAGAGAAATACAACATAACATGCATTGTGTCATATCTCATGAACACACCACTATAAATATGTAACATAAACAAAATACATATAAATTACAACTTCATCCTTTTCAGAAAGGGAAGTATTGTACACAATAGGCAATAACAAATTTGGTTTCTGTCAGACAAGCTTGATTCCTGCTTTCTTCACAACTCCAATAATATGTTATAACTTTATTACTGCATTCTTACAAATACACTTTCTTGGATTTCTACTATTGTAAGTGAACTCCTAAATATCTCAGTACACCCATCTTTCTCTGTTGGTGCAAATACTCTCAACACCAGCATTTCCAGGCTCATCACCACCCTCCCAAGTTTAACAAACTAGCAGCCTCAAGAGAAGCACTGGAAGCCACCTAACCTTTATTAAGGCAAATGCAAAATACGGGCATTACCTGCTTCTTACACTTCACAATCTTCTCTACTTCATGCATTGTAAGAAACTTTCCCGCCTTTTTTTGCCAGCGCAGGACCCACTCATATAGTAAAACAAAATCTCCACTCTGGACTTCCAAGGCATTGTACACTGATTTACCAAGCTGCTCATCCTTGCCTATATGTAAAAAGAGAGAATAGGAACAGGACTTCTTTTGTTGCTAAGGACTTGATGAGAGCGCCTGCAAATGCTGCATGAACGCCAGTAAGCCTGCTCTCTAGAATTTCAGAAGCACAAACCTACTTAAAAAGACAAGATTCATACCTACCTAGTAGATATGAAAAACAGCAGGTCTGAGGGGACTGAATGCTATGCAGTGGTAGTCAAATGAAAGAAAGAGCACATTGGCAAAAAATTGCTGCACGTTTCAAACAATTTCAGGTTTTAATAAACTAACTCTCTACCGGCTCAGCAAACGCCGAGCTCTCCACACAGCAACTCAATTGTTCATCCTCAAACTGCAAAATACAACTCTTTGCTTCACAGACTTTCACTTATGTCTCGTTGCTGAAGTAGTGCTATGTTGAAAATGAACAATGAAAACATTTGATGGTCCATTCATATGGGCACTTCTTGGAGGCATTTTAGCTCTGAAAATTTCTTGTCCTCACCTGTTGCCTGTATTTATGTTTTCACTAAACCTGCTGCTTTTACGCTGTTGCTATCAGCAGCAACAGAAGGGCAGTAAGCATGCATTTCTAACTCTGTGCTTACCCCTGGTTCCACCTTACTGAAAGCTAAACTCCTTGCTTGATAGACACGTGTATCTGACAAGCTTGCCTTTTAAATTTAAATGCAAATGTTTTCAGTATTATTCTAATTACATAGAGAATAAAAAACATTAAGAAGGTGCAGTGTTTTTTTTTGTATGGCTATTCATTTATGTAATTGTATCAAGCAAAGCAAATCTTTATTTAAAGTAGTCCTAAGAAAATATAAGACATTTACTACTATGAAGTAACTTCATATTACTCTCTCCCACTCTTGACCGTGTCATTTCAGAACCCACAACAGTATTTTCTCCACCCCTGCTGCTGCTTGTACCTGTGAACATCACTGAAGTGCTCCCTCTAAAAATCCCCATAAAAAGCCCAGCCCAAATCCCAGTACTTCAAGCTGCAATTGTAATTTTGCTTACCAAGACATTTTCCTTTATGGACAGTAAGTTGTCCAGCACCACTTGTGCTGAAGTTCAAAACTTCATAATTTCCAGGGGACTCTCTGTTATTACCAACAGAAAGGTGTCGTTCTCGTCTGCAATGCAAACAGAACATTTTTCTCCAACTCTAAAAGAAAGTATTGTTGCAGTCCCTAGTCCCTGAACATATCAGCTCAGTAAGAGGATCAGCTTTCAGAGACTTCAGCATCCACTGATAATATCTATGAATTTCAAAGATACAGAGTTAGTGCAAAGATACATATCTGACTAGAAATCCAGCATTTCAGCAGCAACATTATGCTGCTTTGAGTCTCTGTATTCAAAACCAGGAGTCAAATCCAAACCTTACAACTTCTGCATCTTAGGATAATACCCCTAGGTGGGTGAGACAGGTGGAGAACGGGAATAAAACAGAAGTAAATATACTACAGCTCTGTAAAATACATGAATTTGACTTGATTTGCTTTCTCTTTCAAAACATTACAAAAACCAAATATATGCAATTTTGGAAGTTCATTCCAGCTTTAGTTTAATTATTTTTCCTAACATATAATAGATTTCCCATTCAAATACTGTAACCACTCTAAACCTCTCCTTTAAATAAACAGTAGTTTTGCAAATCCTTCAAAAGCAAGTATGATTACGGTGTTTCTTCTGACATGCACGAAGCTGCACCTTGTATCAGAAAGAAAAGACCACTAACCCAAACCAACCTCCATTGCTTCTTGGTATAATCTATTTCAAAATTAATAGAAATATCGCCACTGCAAGAGTTTTCTCCAAATAAGTGCAAACACATACACAGATCATAGGAGTATATAAAGGGTAGTGTTAAAGCTCATTAAAAATATTGAATTGATAAAAAGAATCCAAACCAAACAAAAAAAAAAAAAATCACTGAGATGTGCTACCTAGAAAGAAGCACCAGGAATATTAATACCAGGGTATCTCCACTGTCCTTGACAATTGTACCAGCTATGAACACAGGCAAGAGGGAGGAAAATAAAGAAAAACCAAATATCCAAGCCTACCCATATCATCACCAACCCTCACCCAGGTGAATTATACACCTGCGCAAGAACCCTGCAATAACTCTAATCTTCCCTCCAGTATGTTGCTCTGCAAATGCAATCAGCACTGACTCTCAAACAGAGAACTTTCTAGCAAAAGTTTTGAGATGAATACGTTTTAATTTATTGTGCTATTCCAAAACCTTCACTGCTTTAATTTTTTTTTTTTCCTGCAACTAAGCAAGCCCTGAATATACCTTTCAACAACTATCAAATACTTTCTAAGTTAAACTAAGGGCAAAGCTGACTCTATTAATTGGAAAGTTCCCAAGTTAACCATAGCACATGAATTAGGCCAAATAAAGAGGAGGAATGGAGGGAGGAGGCACAGAGACCAAAGCAAACATCTAAGCAACATGGCACATTACTCTTTTGCCTTCACACTTCACTTTGAAAGCTAATGTTTGGGGAAAAAAACCCCTGAAGATCCACATGCAAACTGACATACTAACTTTGAACGTCCAGCCGAATTTGGTCGGTGTTTATTGTTCACTCCATGCTCCAAACGGCTGCCGTTTAAACTGGGAGCAACTCGATAGGTTGCAGCTTCTCTCCTGTGAGAGTTTTCTTGACTTGTCTGAGCAGCTATTTCCAGACGTTCCTATAAATCAGGAAAACATCATCATGTAAGTACAGAAACTGCTGCTATCAAAATACACAAGTACTTGACTAATCTATGAAGTCCAGGATCACAGAAGAAATCAGTTTTCATAATAAATGTACATATAAGGCTGATAAAGAAGTGCTGAGATTCAGAAAGCACATTCCAGTACTGTCTACAAGCATGGAACGTGAAGATTCTTTAGAATGAAACTGAAAACATGATCATATTAGCTTCTTTTTGACCATATATTCTACCTTCCCTTACAGCTGATTTTCTAGCAGAAATCAAACTCACGTAATTATGAACCTATTTTAACCTAGCTCTATTTGAAACACTGAATGAGAAAAGATATCCAGAACAATTCATTTGTGTAAATCTCTCAAATTTTTAAAGCATTGGGAAGAAGTTATTGCAATAATTTCTGTACACTTGCTTAGGAAGAATACCTGTTTGGCAATCTCTTTCTTTTTCCTTTCTTCTCTTTTCTCTTCCTCTCTTCTCTGAATCTCATTAAGGATTTCACGTTGCTGAAATGAATTTTGGTGGTGTTAGAGACTCACCAGTACATGCAATGCAACTGCTAATCTTACCCTGGTTAAAAAAAAACAAAACAAAACAAAACAAAAAAAACCAAACACTATGATGCTGATTTTTCCAAAGTGGTAAAGAGTACTTATGGATCTCACAGAAGTAAAAAAATAAAGTCATTTCGCTGTCCTGAGGAGGTTAACAGGATTCAATTGTATGATATGGGAGAACAGAGTTGTAGAAAAATACTACTGACAGACCAAACAATAAAGTTTCATATACAGAGAAGATACAGGAATAAGCTAAAACATTCCATTAGAAAAAAGAAGAGCTATTCTATCCCTAATCCCACAGTGTGGAGAATCCACATGACTAGTGTATGAAACTCAAACTAATCCCCTTATTTCTAGTGAGGAACGTATGCAGGTCCAAGGTGTCTATGGATTACACTCATTGCACTCTGGAGAAGTCTGTCACAGCAACCATTCCAATCACCGTATGGGTGAAGGAAGGTGTGACTACCTGTCTGGCTAATACTTCCCAGTTTAGGATGGAAAACACTTCATATATACACATTTGCTTACACTTTTGTATAAGGTCCTCTCTGAAAGCGATTTTCACAGCATCACAAATCAACATTTTGGTTTGTTTCAGGCAAAAATATTTTTCCAGGTTAAAAACACATCATTAAAATCTTAAAATTGCAGCAGCAGATCAATCCTATAGTTGATCATATGGACACATCTGACAAGTTAATTCACTAACACACACCACTAGGCAGAAGTATTTACAAAATCATGATTGTTATTTTAAGAATACAGTCTCATTCACACTTTAACTGCTCTTACCTCCTGCTCCTCTCTTCTCTTAACTTCCTGTGCCCTACGCAACTCCTCCTGAGCCAGTCTCTCTCGTTCTTTTTGATGATTTTTCAGCATCTCTTCATGAAAAGACTTGGAAGGTGGTTTATTATTCTCACTGAGAAAAGACTGTACATGGTCAGCAAGTTCAAATATCATCACCTGAAAGAGATGAACAAGTAGATCACATAGTAAAATGACACCCAGTTCAAGAAAGCAATACAGCAGCAGTATGACCGCTGATCTTGTTACTTACCAGGGAGAGCTCACCATAACCATATTTCAGTGTTTTCTGACAGACTATTTATTAATACACTGTAACATGAAAAATCCCTGACCACAGTAACAAAGATAGCAAAAAATATTGAGACAGCCAAGTTCAAACATAATATTTTTCTAAATAAATAAATAATATATTAAATCATTTTAATATTTCTTTTCTCATCTTGTTAGAATCACAGAATCGCTATGGTTGGAAAGGACCTCTGGGATCATCAAGTCCAACCTCCATCCCAACATCTCCCTGATCACTAGACCATAGCCCCAAGTGCTACATCTACTTGTTTTTTAAACGCCTCCAGGGATGGTGACTCCACCATATTTTCCTACTTACAAAGATGTTTATGACATATGAGCTACAACAGAATAAATCCTTCATAATTGTCTATTACTGTATCTACTCCTATGAAATAGTTACATCAATGCTAACACAAAACTCAATCCTTTCCTGCAAACTAAGCCCCCCAGGTAGAACTGTAAAGCCACTTAAGGCACTCTGCATTCATATACCCACAACTACTAAAATAGGAGCTGCACTGAAAAACTCAGCTATTCTGCTACATGGTTTGCAAGGTTGGAATCCAGTTTCAGTTACTGTTGACTTGAACAGGGTATGTACTGATGACCTATTGACCTGTCAGGCCTCATGCTTTCATTGGTCTAGTAGCATTCCTTTATTAAATTAAGCAACCCATGCTACTGATAGACCATTGTATCTCCAAAATTAAAGAACAGTGCGTCAGAAACATATAGTAAAAAGAGAGGAATCTCCCTAACTAAAAAAAAAAAAAAACAAACCCAAAACACAATCTGCTGTTCAGTTTAACAGGTAACTGAGGTTATTTTCAAATTTTACATACTGCAGAACAGACTTTAATAAATAATACCTGTCTAGGCAGAGAGAACATTCTCCTCCCTTTCCCTGCAGGGTAATTAATTTAGAATTGCACCATGTATGTCATGCATCAAATATGTGTATCATACATATAACTCACAACTTTATCTACACAATGCTGGAGCAAGCACAACTTTCACTTTGGAAAATTAACACTAGGAAATTCCACGACACATTTCTGATCTCACTGAAAGGAGCTACAAATCAAACAGGGATTTAAAGCCCTATAGGACACTAGTTCCCCTGGGGTCAGTTGTGAGCACACCGAGGGTATATATTGCATGGTTTAATGGTTACTTGAGAGAATTTGAACCTTGTATTTCCTATCAATTGTCTATGGTACAGTCATTATAAAAAAGAAAAAAAAAAAAAACAGAATACACTGTTAAACTGCTAATTTCTAAAGACACTGAAAAAATTGAGGAAATTCTTGGTTATTCAACAGAATGAATAAAACAGTATTTGGCTAAAACAGCTCTTCTGAAAGTATCTGCAGAAAAACTGGTAATCAAATTAGGTGTATAGTATGCCAATAGAAACGAGGCTTGATGTGGCAAGACTGAACAACAGGCAACCCCTGCCAAACCTGTAAAGCTGACAGGCTTAGGAAACTGAAAGCAGAGCACTGTCAATGGTGTTTACCTTTACCATTTTCAAATAGTGATGAGAAACATACTGTAAATGTTGCTTTTACTAAGAATTCAATGTTTGCTTTGTTACACACAATTCAATGGTTCTTTGAATCATTTGAGTCCTCAGCAACAATGGAAAGGTATTGTTAATACCAAACATACCTGGGAACTTACAAAATCCTTTACAACAGATAAAAGTTGTAAGCTTCACGTGTTTCTCCATTTTTCTCTTTATATCCTTTTTTGGGGGGAAGTCAAATATCACTGTTCCCAAGCACAGCAGAAAAAAGGCACAATGGCATGGAGTGACTGTGCTACAACCACACAAGTCAACTGTTGAGCTGGTGTTTTAATTGAGGTCTCTCACCTTTCAGTTCAGCATCAGATGAACAAGATCACACTGAAAAACTCCCCAGATACCTGCTGTTTGCTTAAACAACTATAGCCACTTACAATATTTAAATTAATATGAAAAGTGCAGAAAGCTCTCAATTTTAGAGTCAATATTGCTTTTCATACTGTGAAATAACTCAAAATAACACGAAACTTTGAACAGCAACAAAGCTTCCACTATTTATACATGCACTGTATTTTAAGAGCACGCATGTTCTGAATTTCCATTAATTAAAAACATACTTAAGAAAAAAAAGTCTCTCCTTCCTTAGAAGCAATGCAACTTATACTTCCACTGTGGATATATTCCATGATACTATATACCACACAAGTTTTTAGAACTATTTATGTCCAGAGTATATTTCTCAAGGAAGTGAGAAGCTCTTACCTCTCCACAGCGCCGTTTTGCCAGTTCAGCTAGTCTGGCTTTTAATTCACTTATTTTCTCATTTGACAAGCCTTTTGAATTTTTCAGTTGTATTTCAGGAACACTGGGGAATAGCAACAAAATAATAAGTCCCCATCAGAAAACTTGAGTTGAAAAAGCAACACAATGTTGATTTGCAGTAACAAATACATCCCTGCTATTTTCCATTGCACAAAAAGCCACACCCAGTACAGGTGCCAAATTTTATACTTGCCTACTGTACAACACCACAGGCTACACAAAAAAGCAGGAATAAGGCTGATGAATGAAAATACTTATTTTTTCAACTTTACATTTGACTACAAAAACAGAGGAAAATATTCAGAGAAAAAAAGGCTGCAACGTTCACTCACCTATCAGGGTAAGTATTCGGACACTTGACCCACAGATCAACTTTGGCATAGACTTCATTATCACCAGTCAGACCCTGAGGGCGCAGAACTAAATTAATTTCAGGAGGCTGCCGTACCTACAATGGAAAACAAAACTTCTGCTTTAAAAGCTTTTTTTTTTTTTGCCTTTCTTTTAATAAAAGCGCACAACCTGCATTATTTATGGCAGAATTCAGGTCAGACCACCCAAACGATGAAAAAACCCTATATTAATGTATTGACATTGCTGAGAGTGAACTGTTTTGCCAATTATCACACTTTATAAAGTTTATTTTTAGATTTTCTTCAGATAAGTGTAGTTACAGCTATTACAAAGATGATGTAAGATTGAGCAAAAACGTTTTATAATAAACCCTTGTATTTTGCTTACTATAGGCTAGTAGAAGGAAAAAGATTAAATCAATGTTACATAAGTTATTTATGAAGTACCATAAAGTATTAATTATAAGAATATTGCTTTTTTCGGTGTTCATTTTAGATCACTTAAAAACACCAGTCAGTATTTTATTTTCTGACATGGCAATAGACTACAACATCACATTTATATATACACCTTGTGCAGCCAAAAAAAATGGATAGCAATTTTCTGTATTTGTATTTTTGATTTTGACACAGACTAGAATTTTAACAAGTACTGCCCTTTCTTCCAATCCTGTTCAAATTACGTACTCAAAGTCAAGTAAAACATGCCCTTACAAACATTCTAAACTTTTTGTCATAATTAGAAAACTAAGTTTTCTGGAAAAAACAAGAACCCCACAAGTCAGACCTTAGTAACATGACAAAGACCTGGGGAAAGGAGTCCACATGGAATAACAAATACAGAAAGAGGTTAAAAGATGATCGCTAGTCCCTCTATTTTCCCTTTATGTTTCCAGCAAGGAGAAGAGCATGTTAAGAGGATGTCAGGTGTGCATTTAAAAGGCAGTAAGGTTTGCAACACTTCTGAAAACCCAACTACTGGCTAACAGTGTTTGTATCAAATTTGGAGAACAAAAAAAGTGCTACAGGTTGAGACAAGAATTTCAAGTTCATGGCAGAAAAAAGGATAGCAAGAACTATGATCTCTTTTGTAGAAGCTAAAGAAAAAAGCATGTAAAAAGAAACGACAATAGCAGTGAACTTGGGGAAGTGATAAGAGTGACCAGTAGTACCTCCAGGTACAAGAAAACAGTGCCACAGAGGCAGCTGGACAAAGTTATCAACTGGACACTGTGGACACAAAAGAGAAATGGAAAACAGGAGTGAGTACTAGACCTGAGCATTAATTAATTCGAATTTAAGTTTAAAAAAAGCCAACAAAACAACAAACCTAAACAAACAAACAAACAAAAAAACCAACCAAAACCTTTAAAAATTAAAGTATTACGTTATCATGGAAACAGCCGCACTTTGAGTAAGCCACAACATATAATAAATACGCAGGAGACTAAGTAAGTACGTATGCAATTATCGGCTAAGGGATGAATTAAGAGACAGTTAACAAAACCTCTGGCAATTAATTAAAACTCAGGCTGTACACACAGCACTAATTACAGTGCGAGCGCATCGATGGAGGGGACGAACTGCAAGGGCAGTTACGCGGCTGCCCGCCGCCGGGGAGGGGGAACCACGGGCACGCAGCAAGATGCGTGCCAGATGGCCCAGCGAGGACCGGCCGACAGAGTGC